TATGTTCATGAATTAATGATCTTTTCTATTTGGTTTTATTTGGTGTTGGTTCCAATATTCCTCACCTGCAGCATCCATGACTCTGATTCTGGGTTTCTATGGATCTGTGACTTTACAATTGGGTCCAAATGACTCACGCCTTTTGCAAACTAACCGATTCTTTGTTCAGTCTGTTAAGGTGAATGGCTATATGTTTACTAGTTGTGATAAATACCCATCATGTTTCAGTATTGCTTCTATCTTTGCAATTTAGTAATCTTGGTTACATTGCAAACAGGTGGAAGAAATAGGTGAGCACAATCCTGGTATAATGTTGTATGGATTTCACAAAAAACCTCTCTTGGATATTGACATCTCCTGGACTGAAATTCATGAAACAATGGTACCACTTGACTTTCACAAGGTCAAATCTTCTCTCTTTATCAGAATTTTAGTTATTTTCAATCCCATTTCTGTTTCACATTTCATGTGATAAATTGTCTGTTGCCTATAAATTGCACAGCCTAGCAACAGACAATTTTAGGAGTCTTCTTGGTCAATGGGGTTATGTTTTACTACTTCGTCTTTTGCAGGAGTGGTTATTCTTCTTAAACAAAGGGTCTGAAGTAAACATTTCTTACAGTGTAAAATCCTCAGGATCCTCTCCTTTATCCCTTGTCATTGCCCAAGGTAAAATTCTGCTTCCTTTCATGTTACCCTTTGGAACTTTTAATTCAATGAAGTCCCTTCCCCTCCAACCGCCCTTTTTTATTTCATACCATAACTGAAGCAAGCATTCCCCTTAATTTTCCTTCTTTTTTGAGCTTGCAAAACATTTCTGACTGTGCTGGGTCAATTATTCTGGTTCTTTTCCACTTTGTGCATAGATTTAGTCACTGGGTGGTACTTTATGCATGTGTAAAGTTAATAGGTGCCTCTGCATGAACTGAACTTAAATTTTAAATCAAATAAAAAAAAAAAGAGAGACAAATTTGATATCAGAAATGCATTAACCACAGATGTATCCATTCAAAATTCTTATTCATGCAGGTAGAGAAAACTTCCTTGAGTGGATGGAAGATCCATCACATTCTAATACAACTCTGTCATGGAATATTATATATGGTATGATTTATAATTGATAGAATGCTCACTTTTCCCTAAAATTGATTATGAGTTAAAGTGCCATGAGCTTCCCTTTACAGGACACGGTAAGATCCAGCAGAGGATTCCTATTTCATCTGATTATTACATAGCAGTCATTAATTTCAATCCTGAGGAAGTGCAGGTAATTGTCAGATCCTGTTTGTTGTGAAATGATTTTTCAACATTGGTATTACTTTTAAAACCTGGTAAAGTTGTTGTCCGTGCTTGTAAATTTGCTTTTAAAAATGCACATTAGTAATAATACCATCAATATGCACGACTTGAATTTTGAATTGCTTGTTCCTTGTCAAACGCAGAAAATATGCATAGTGAACTTAAAAGTTCCTATGAAACATGGTGGAGCAACACATACCAGACAAATTTATTCACCAGCTGATAGGGATTATGAAAACCCTTCATTCTTTGAGTTGAAAACAAAACAAAACAAAGCAACAAAAAAAAAAAAGAAAAACACACACACACACACACGCATAATTCAATCACTATTTAGATTGCTTTGGCACATAAGCTCGAGGGAAGTGCACAGATCCTTTCAGTACACAACAAATGGTCTTGTTTTCTGTTTGACACTGAATATATCCATTCTGAAACACTCTTCTTCAACAACTATTCCTGTAGATAGAACTGAAGTTCTCTTTCAAGGCTTTCATCTATAACACGGCTGGAGCATATTACACATGCACCCTGAGCAACCATTTATGTAATTTGAATCTTCACCTTCTAGGGACATATGCTGTTGTCCTATCTTCTTCAGGTCTTGATGAGGTAAAATAATTAGCTTCCCTAAAACATTTCTCAGTTTGATTTCTGCAAGGCAGAATCCTAAATAAATACTAAAACCCAGTGATTCTTTAGACTGCGGTTCTTTGACTTTAGATATGAGAAATTTTGAATGTTACGGATATTTCAGGGAACTCCTGACAGTAACAGGTATGTCAAAGTCTCTTATGGACCAAGATGGATTACGTACTTTGCAGGATCAGGTTTTTTACATTTCCCTTATATGGATATTATTGCATTTCTAGAAAATATTCTCCATCTTCACATTCTTCCCTGTTCCTGTGTGCAGCTCTGATGACCATACTCATCTTATTTGCCATTAGATTCTGTAATCCATTCCGCACTCCCAGTACAGATGAAACAGGACTTCGTGTAGAAGAAATGATATCAGAGAGAACCCCATTGCTTCAACCAAAGGATGATGACGTCTCAAGCTGGGGTTCTTCTTATGATTCCATATCACATGATGAGGAGGATCTTGAAGAGTGGGTCGCAGCAAATTCTGTTGAAATACCAAAAGAAGGAGAAAGCAACAACCCTCCACGTCTTTGTGTTGTTTGCTTTGATGCCCCAAGAGATTGCTTCTTCCTTCCATGCGGACACTGTGCTACCTGTTTTACTTGTGGAACAAGGTAAGAGAGACCACATCAAGTACCCTGCCATGCTAGTTTCTGATTCTGAAGTAGGCAATAGTTCAAACTAAACAACAATGATGAAAATGTTGCAGGATTGCAGAAGATGCTGGTACTTGTCCAATATGTCGAAGAAAGATGAAGAAAGTGCGCAAGATATTTTCAGTTTAAGCATTTAATTACAGTAAACTGTGCTAGCACAGTGGCACTCATGATGGCAGCTTGGATATATTTTTGTGATAGATTGGTTTGGATTCAGTTGGGAGTTCTGTAGAAATTAGGATTGTATGAAATTTGTTAACTTGAAATTAACAAAATCAGAAGCTAACTTAAAATTAGTATCTTATGATAAAATTATGATTGGTTGTAAAAAAGAAGTTATCAATATAAGTGGGGCATGGTTATGGTCATGTTGGGACCTTTTTCTTGTAACCATACATTATTTTTAAATATATATATGTATGTGATAATTTTTTTATACTATTTTTTTAAAAATTGTAAAAAATTAAAATAGATTTATAGTAATTTTATATATAAAATCAGAAATCTTATTTGAAACTTTTTTATTATAACTTTTACAAAAAAAAAATATAATATTTAATATAATTATAAAATTACTCATTAAAATTTAATATCGTATAATTCAATTATATAATAATTTATAATATTTTAATAATTATAACTAATTAAAAAAATTAAATTATTAAGAAGTAATAAATATTATATATTTTAATAATTAAATATCTTATAATATTTTTTAAAATTTAATTAATAATTAATAAAATCTACCATATTTTATCCATAATACTTTTAAAAAATAAATAATCAAACACTAAAATAACTATTAATTACAGTACAGCATAATTTAATATAGTTATAGCTATAATAACAGTCATAATACTTTACAGTAATCCAAAACGTATTTTAAAATTGTAAAATATTATTTTTTAAAATATTAATTTTATTTAATTTAACTGATAAAAATAATTAATAACTATAACTATCAACTAATAGTTATATTTAAAAATCAAATTTTAATTTAAAATTTAGAAAATTTTCATTATTAAATATTGATATTTAAATTTAAAAGCAACTTATATATTTAAATATAATTAATTTTTAAATTTAAATATTAACATTTAATAAAATAAATTTTTAAATTTTAAATTAATTTTTAATTAAATCAAATAATATCATTTAAAATTTCAATTTAAATTTATTTTAAAAGGCATATAATAGCACTTGCGACCTTAACCACGATGGAAGTGAACTTTCTCTCTTAACTTTTTTATCAAAAGTTTCAGCTGTCAATGCAGTAATATTGTAACTATTCTCGTTACCTCAAATTTCCCACTGGTAAAAAAAAAGAGAAGAAGGCACATAATGATATGTACTTTTTCTTAACTAATAATGAAAGATTAAAAAGTAAAAAGCTTATGGGTTGGACCGTTGGAGTTTGGCGGTCGATCCCACCTTAGAAACCAAAGGCCCACGAATGAAAAGTTGAAAAAGAAGAAAATGGTCAGCACGAGTTGAGTCGGAAATAGGAGGAGAAGGAGACGGGGTCGGAGCCAACTTCCACCCACGTGGACGGTGGTTGGACCCCTCACACACCAGAAGTCATCACGCCATTCAGAGTTTCCAAGCTACAATTACAAATTACATTCCCACCGTAGACGACGATGCAGAAGCTTTTACGCCGTGTGTTTACGCTAAGCAGAAATGGGTGGACCCATCGCTCGGAATCCTCCTCGTTCCCCTCCATATGTCCTCCCATGCATTATCGCCCTTGCCTTCCTATCTCTCTCCGCCCTCTTCCTCAGCAAGGTTCCAAGATAACTTTACCATTTTTATCTCCTATTTGCGGCATGTTTAAAGACTCCGTTTTGTTGTGATTCCTTATTACTAAATGGGATTTCACATTGCTGGTAGAAATGTTTTGCGTTTGCTACTGTGTTGATCAAGAAGCAATTTTTTGGCAATTTGTAGTGTAAAATTGATCTTGTAGAAGAACATGTCAAATTAAATGATGTTTTCTGGTTTGCTAAGGGAAAGGTCTTTTGGGTTTTGAGAAACGGTGCCCAAATCTAAAAGAAAATTCAACTTTTCTGGCATTCTTTTCTTTTCTTAATGTGATTTGGGAATTTCATCGAACAGGTGGATGACTTCGTCTCGCAAACAAAAACAGTTGCAGGCCACAACTTAGAGCCAACACCGTGGCACCTATTCCCGCCAAGAACGTTCAGTGAAGATACTCGACAAGAACGGGCTTACAAAATCATAAAATGCTCTTATCTCACTTGTCCTTACAGCACTAGGAGGAATAATGATACAGAGTTGGAGGAACGGCGCCTCTTTGTATCCTCTTTAGACACCCCGAAATGCCCAGATTTTTTCAGGTTCATTCATAAGGATCTTCAACCATGGGCTAAAACCCGGATAACAAAAGATCATGTGATGGCAGCCAAGGAACATGCTGCATTTCGGGTTGTTATCGTGGGTGGAAGAATTTACGTGGATTTGTACTATGCTTGTGTACAAAGCAGATTGATGTTTACTGTATGGGGATTGTTGCAGCTGTTAAGGAGGTATCCTGGCATGCTGCCTGATGTGGATATGATGTTTGATTGCATGGATAAGCCTAGTATTAATCGAACTGAACATGGGTCCTTCCCCTTGCCACTTTTTCGGTATTGTACAACAGATGCTCACTTTGATATCCCATTTCCTGATTGGTCTTTCTGGGGTTGGTAAGAATCAGTATCCTGCATCCTTATTGTTATAGGTTTGTAGTTGGCCTATCTATTTTATTTCTGTGGATGGATTCATTTTAGCTGTTGCACAACAAATACATATTCTGTCTTCCAGTATTATTTGCTTGTATGTAATTGCATCTGATGCTAAAAAGTGCACTGATATGAATGCTATTAGGAATTGGATGTAGGTATTCTCATCCGTGTATTTTAAAAGATGCTTTTACATTGGCTATTAATGCCTGGACACGATTTGATCTTCAGCATGCATTCTTTTAAGGTAACTGACTTGTGTGCAGGCCAGAGACAAATATAAAGCCCTGGGATGAGCAGTTCAGAGAGATTAAGCAAGGTTCACAAACAAAGAGGTGGGGGAACAAGTTGCCCCTTGCATTCTGGAAAGGGAATCCTGATGTTGATTCACCCATCCGAACAGAGTTACTGCAATGTAATCACTCTACGAAGTGGAGAGCACAAATTTTGCGTCAGGTTGAGTTTGGATTGCTGTGTAATTGCATATATATATATAGATCAGATGATTGTTGTTCCCAAAATTATGTGTTAAGTAAACATTGCAATAATAAAAATATTCAGAGTTATTGATTTTAATGCTCTCTTTTTAATACATGTTGCAGAATTGGGTGGAAGAAGCAAAATCCGGATATGAGCAGTCAAAACTGTCAAATCAGTGTAACCATCGGTGAGTTCTTTTCTCAGAGTTATTTCACACCATCATTGATTTATACAGGCTTTGTTTAACAACTTTCTCAGTTTTTTAGCTTTCGGTTTTTATGCTTTTTTATTATTTTAAAAATATATAAAATATAAAATATATAAAATACAAAATAAAATAAATATAAAATATATTTTATATATTTTTAAGATGTTAAAGAACCAAAAAAACCTACAGTTGTAGCTATAAGTTAACACTGTCAAACTGTTAAGTGAGAAAATCCCACATTGAGTATAAAAATAAGAAGCTCGTGGGTTAAATACAAAAAAGGTTACTCCACCTATTACCAATTAATTTTAAGTTGAATGCAAGCCTTGTGTTGGCTTACATGTAGGATTTTCAATACAAACTAAGCCATAGAATAAAACCCTTTCCTTCTAGTTCTATTGATTACCATTCTTATGTTCCATGTCTGTGCATGCAAGGCTTACAAGTTACATAGAATGAAACTTCCTTTTACTGATCCTATCAAAATGGTAGATTGCATATTTGCGTTTCCTTGGCTGGGAGGATTTGAACTAGAGCCACATCATTTGAATGGGAGTTGCATACTTGCATCCATGAAATTCCGTATTCTGATCTTGTACTTAAGAATGTTACTTCGAGGACTCAAGAATTATGGCTCAAGTGCCAGATTCTTTAGCTTCAGTTCTGGTAAAATACTGTAATATGTTGATATATTTTACTCCTGCAGGTATAAAATATATGCTGAAGGCTATGCTTGGTCTGTAAGCCTGAAATATATTCTATCCTGTGGTTCTCTTGCACTGATAATTACTCCCCAATATGAAGATTTCTTCACTCGGGGTCTCATTCCAAGGAAAAACTACTGGCCCGTCTCTCCTATTAATTTATGTCACTCCATAAAGTTTGCTGTTAAGTGGGGTAACACTCATCCTTTAGAGGTATGGTTTAAATTATATTTCATTCTTCGTATATAATTTGATTGTTGTTCGGTCAAAACCAGTATGTCATACTGAAGTTCTTTGTCTGCTTGCGATCTCGGTTGTACATGGATTTCTGGATTCAGATTGTGCAAATGTTAGTAAGAACAAAAGAATAGTGATACATTCTTTTTTTTTTTTTTCTTTTTTTCTTTTTTCATATAAATTTGGAGAAACAGGCTGAGGCAATGGGAAAAAAAGGGCAGGATTTCATGGAAAACTTAAGTATGGATCGAGTCTATGACTACATGTTTCACTTCATCAGTGAGTACTCGAAACTGCAAGATTTCAAGCCTTCCCCACCATCTACTGCTCTAGAAGTATGTGCAGAGTCCCTACTTTGCTTGGCTGACCCCAAGCAGAGGGAGTACCTTGAAAGATCAACCACCGCACCTTCCCCAGCTCCTCCATGCAGCCTTGAGCCTGCCAATGCTAATTTCATGAAGAGTTGGATAGAAAAGAAAAAGAAAACAATAGAAGATGTAAGAGTTATGGTGGAGAAGAATGCATTGAGAAGATAAGCGGATTAGAGTGCTTGTTAAAGTGAAGTTTTGTAGCTTTAAGTTCATCTTTATATTATACATGCTCCATTAGGAAAGTATGCACATTTTTATCATTTAGTACAGATAGAATACAATATGGGTAATGTTATTTATTGTGGGGTTTTAGAATGGATATTCAAGCCCCTTACGACTTTATGTTTAGGAACGACTATAATTCGTTTGAAAATATTTGTTGACAAATTTTGTTAATAACATGGGCATGGCATGCACGTCATGTTGTTGATGAATCATTTTCGTTTGTTTCTGTTTCCATTTTCTGTCAAAATAGACATCCCAAAAGCCAAAAGTCAACAAATAAATATAAAGACGTGAAAAAAAAAAAGAAGAAGAAGAAGAAGAAGAAGAGAAGAGGGTGGAAATGTATGGAAGCTGATGCAGATCCGAAATTATATGGATAGAATATAGAAGTTTATTATTATAATATATTATTATATAATTAATATTTTTATTTATATATATATTTTTGGTATGGACCATCCAGTATTCCCAAATTCATTGGGCCACCGATTAATTCAGATTCAAGCCGAGCAGATCCCACGGGTGACAAAACTCTATCTCACGAGTTTTAACAGAGTTGCATTCTCAGAACTTGAAATCAAGACCCCTAATTAGGCTGGAAGAGTCCCAACTAACTCATCTATCTGTGAGTATTTAAAAATTTATTTTAGATGTAGTATATATTTACTCATTTAATAACATGTTATAATTATAAATTTATGATCTTAGTTAACATTGTTAGTTTGTCATTGCATATACAAAGGGAATAATTATGACCACCAAGAATAATATTATGATCATTAAAACTGCAAAATATTATTTTTAAAAATATTAATTTTATTTAATTTGATTAAAAAAAAATAACTAATAACTGTAACTATTAATTAATAATTGATAAAAAAAATTATATTTATTAGTTGGTAAATTAAAATTAGCCATCAAATTGATATTTTCAAATACTATCTAAGAAGCAAATCTAAAATTTTTAGTGTTAATAATTTTCACGATAACCGATAATCACTCCAAATATGAATATAATCTTAGTATTTTAGAATAAAATCTCACAATAATTATTAATCTACCATTTAATTTCAATTTTGTAGATTAAAAATCAAGTCTTTAACATCTCTAAATAAATATCAAGTTGTAATATTTTTGTTTGATAATTAGAAATTTAGAATACTCAACTCTGATAATGGGTTTCCTCCATGTGAGAATTGGGAACTGTTTAATTATTGGCAAAATAAACAAAGAGATAATGACAATTGAAAATGTTAAGTAGCATACTACTATGAATTATTTAGAGTGCTTAGCACACATGTAATCTAATGCTGATATCCAGGTTGAGTACCCTTGATAATATTTTTCAGTAATAACATTATCTTGGCTAATAAAAAAGAAAAAAATTAACCTACCCCCCAAGGGTGAATTGGACCACAATATGCTACTCACATTCACTGCGTGGTATTTTTTTCTTATATTAATTTCTCAATATCTAATATTCACAATGTAATATCTCTTTTTTTTTTTTTTTTGGGTTTCTCGTCCGGTATCCGAGG